GTGATGAAGGAGCCTTTGTTCCTGCTCACTGGTCTATGATTACAGGGACAAGATTATATAGGAAGGGGAGGACTATGGGTTTCCAGCTGGGGTCACAAGAGAAGCTCATGGCTTGTGGAGAAGCTGCCCAGATCACAGTGCAGCACAGAGAAGCTCATGGCGTGTGGAGAAGCTGCCCAGATCACAGTGCAGCACAGAGAAGCTCATGGCTTGTGGAGAAGCTGCCCAGATCACAGTGCAGCGCAGAGCTTCCGAGTGCGTTGGCCTGGCGGCTGGAGGTGTTGCACCCCAGTCGGGGGGTGGCTAGAAAAGAAACTGTCACTGCTCCCCGAGACACATGCGGTGGGATCCGTAGAGTGGACTGTACTCTTTCCAGATGGAGTCTGCTCTGGAGTGTAGCAGGCTGCAGTGTGTGGGCAGGCTGAAGGGGACCTCCACCACTGTGTATCACATCTGCGGTCCAGTCAGCAGGAAGAAGGGAAAGCCAGGACACATCTCCTTCCTTTTGTAAGGACTCTTCTTGGAAGGAGCTATGCATGCAGCCATTGGTTACTTCTCAGAACTTGGTCACATGACCGTGCAGAGCTGCAAATGGGGCTGGGACAGGAGCCTCCATTTGAGATGACCCTGTGCCTAACAGCTCAAGAGAGAACAGTTGGTGTTGGGAGACTGCTAGTAGCAGGTGCCTGAGCCAGGAGAGTGGATAAACCATAGTGAGCAAGTGGTGGGGGATGAGGCTGGGCCGTGAGGCTAGGCTAAGTCTGGTCGGACTTTGTAAGCCCTGGGGTGGTCTGGGGCTTCACCTGGAGAGTGAGAATTTAGGAAGCCCTTTTAAAAAGGACACCACCACATCGACAGTCTTGAAATCTTTGTTTTCTTTCCGTCCTCTCTCTGGGTTTTGGTTTAGCCCTTGGTACATGCTGTACTCTGCACATTTACCCAGCTATTTCTCTATGGTGAGTTCCTGGAGAAAAGTCACCGGGTGAGAGGAAATGGTTTTTGCTCTCTCACCCAGTCTGTGGTTTCTGGAGGTGGTCCCGGCCTTATAGCTTTTTATAAGCATCCCCTCCCTCTCAGTGTTTTAAAAAAATGAAGCATTTCAACATAAAAAGATGTTGAAACTGTGTTTGCTGCAGATCCAGATTCCACAATGGGCATCCTGCAATAGTTGCTTTATCAGATTTATGCATGCCTGTCCATCAGGACATCTTCATTTTGGATGCATTTCAGAGTAAGTTACAAACCTCAGGATCCCATACCACCTACGCCTATGATGGGTTTTGTTTGTTTGTTTTTGTTTGTTTTATTCCCTCAGACTGTGTGGGCACAGCCCAGTCTTGCTCCTCAGACTGCTGTCGGCCAGAGTCAGGTCCTCCCCTGAGGACTTAGGTGACCTTAGAGCAGACACATACATGTGGGGAAGCATCCTTTTTACCTAAGATGGGGAGGGTACCACCTCCACATGCTGGGCAGCATCTGGCATTGCCCAGCAGAGTGGGAGCTGGCTAAACAGGGATTCCTATATAATCATTATTGTATTTCCTATATCTGTCTGACAGTAGATTGAGCTGCTGAAGACATTTTATATAATCTTTAAGATTTGTTAGCTCTATTTTTGTGTGTACACAGATGTGTGTGTGGAGGTGAGAGGCCAATACCAGGTCTCTTCCTCATCACTCCTCCACATTATGTTTGAGGTGGAGTCTCTCACTGGCCCCAGAGCTCTTTAGCTGGGTTGGTTGGCCAGCGAGCTCTGGAGATCTGCTTGGCTTGTCTCCCTGGTAGCTACGGTTACTTTCTACCATACGTGACTTTTATGCAAGTGCTGGGGATCAGGGTCTAGGTCTCCCTCTCAGGGCAGGCACTTTACCAACCGAACCATCTCCCCAGTCTTCTTATGCTTCGCAGTGGTGACAAATAATCACTCATATACACGCATTATTTGTACTTTTCATTTGATTTTTAGTGTACATCTAGTCATAGACTGTGGGTTTCTTTTTTGTTTCTATTTTCCAAGCTTGTGGGGAAGAACATATGGTGAACAACCACAAAACTCCAGTGTGTCGAGAACACACTATACTGTGCCAGTCGGTTTTCTGCCGCTGTAACTAAATGCCCAGGGCGTGACTGAGGGGAAGAAAGGTTTGCGGTTGATGCACCATTTCAGGGGGAAGGGCCTGGAAGTCCGTACCCCACTTCCTGGGCCTCCAGTGACTGCCTTGCCCTATGCCCATCTCCTAAAAATGTGGTCACTACTCCGTAGCTCAGGAAGAGACAGCCGCCATGCCAGGACCTGGGCCTCAAGAGTGCATTTAAGATCCAGAACACAGCACAGAGTATACTTAGACAAGGACTGCAGAGGGATCTTAGAAAGGGCAGTTGTCCCGCTGTGTGATTTCCCTAGACTGTGTGCATCTTCCATTTGACCTTGGGCTGGAGCTGTACCCAAAGCAAGAGCAGTCGGCTCTTCCTGGGAGAATCTGGGGAGTGATGATGGCCTTGCAGAGGAAAGGCACGTTGAGCAGATTGCAGGCCCCTTCGTAGATGTGTTTTGGGTCAAATGACGGACCATATTTCTATGGTATTTAATTTGCAATCATTGTAAATTCATGGCAAAAGGCTCTGAAACCATCTTGGTTCCCAAGCACAGTGGTTATTGTATCATCTACGTCTCCAGAATCGGGGAACAGACTTTCTCTGAGGCTTCCCCACAGTTTCACCCCCCACCATTGCTGTGGTGCTCTTCCTTCACCACCTCTGGCCTCTCTGCAAGCAGCTGGGCACCGTCCAGCAATAGAGTGGCAGCAATTGTTTGAATAGGCACATGCTTCAATTTCAGACCAGATTGCTATTATCAACCTAGATAATTTCTGTGAGTCCCGAAATAGACGTGGCCCAGTAGGTGGGGTGCCTGTTTATGACATAGCATTGGGGTATGGCAGTGGCTTGTCCAGAATTTCAAGTGGTGTTTGTTTGAGACTGAGTCTGCAGTTCTAAAGAATGTGTTTGTTACTTAGAAAGCAGGAGGAATTCAGCGGAATACGCCCAGGACTTTGATCTGGGTCCCCTTAGCAAAGGTTGAAGCTTGGTGGCGCCCTGTGGCCACAGTCCCAGAGGCTCATTGGAGGGGCCAGTGAAGAATTCTAGGCACCTCTGCCGCCTGATGCGTCTTTGGGACACACTGACAAACACGGATTAAAAAGGACAGGGAGACTAGGAATTTATTGCAAAAGAAGAAAATTCACAGGGATGTGATAAATCAAAAATCCAGAAACATCTGTTCCACTTTGGAGGGAGGGGGATTGTGGGTCTGGGAAATCCGAGGGTTTGAAAATGATTTTTAGGAGAGCACAGTGGGCTTGGAGAACAAGAGGGCAGAGGGTGGATACACAGGGATGACAAAGGTTTCAATGATCCTCTCTGGAATATTGAATGGGACACGGACAGGTATGTTGACACACTGCATTCTCTCAGCCTGCCATGAGCTCAGTTAGTGGAAGTCCTGGGGTGTGACTAGAGGGGGATTGTTTTCTTCTCTGGGGTCCAGACTTTAAATCCACACAAAAGCACCAGAGGGAAGTCAGACATCCGTGGCTCTCAGAATTCCTTTCATTTCAAACAGCTAGCGTACCAAGATGGTGTATTTTGGGAGTGACAATTCCTGGGTCCCCCAGTATCTCATTTACTCCTCCCAGATGTTTATCAACATGGGATGAAGCTGAGAGGTAGAGGAACTGCAGCTCATGTCACTGTAGCAACCCATTTCTCATTTCCCTTGTAGCTAATTCCTTCAGGCAAGAGGTGGAGGGGAGAGGAAGGGGGAGGGAGGGAGGGAGGAAATGAATGGATATATGAATATGAGTCTCCAGGCCAGGCGCTAGAGTGGGGTCCTGAAAGCCTAGTGATGGGTGTGAATTGTTGACTGTGTAGCAGGCGTATTCACCGGTAGTCACTGTGGTAAATGGAACAGAAGAAATGAGCTAATAGATTATGGGGGGTGTGAAGAGGTGAGGGACGGAACAGGACCTGCTTCAGTTTGTGGGTGAGGCTGGAGCTGAAGAGTTTGGGTGACTGAGACAAACTGAAGTAAAGGCAGGGAGTTGAGAATCTTCCTGCCGCAACCGGTGATCTCCCACCAAGATGGGAGTGAGGTTGGAAGGTTGGGAAGCTAGATCAAGCCAGGCCTGATTGTGCGCCCTGCGAAGGGGCTCAGGCTTTGCTCAGTTCTCAGAGTGATGGGCATCTGAGATAGGGAGGGCAGGCGTCTCCGTGTGAACAACTGTAGATTTGGGCTCCCTAGGTTAGACGGACTCCCTTGCTATAGAGCTGGCTTGGGGAGCTTGAAGGGTGCAGCCTTCTTAATTTAGGGGGCAGTTGGTAATTAGAGGCAGAGAGGAGTGGATGGATGGTTTAGAATCGAAAGTTTGGTTGGCTCGAGGAATGGAAAACGAGGTTGCAGGAGCCAACCATGACCAGAGTTCTACGTTTCTGATTTGTAGCTCTGCTCAGACTCTGCCTGTTGAGGGACAGTTTTCCTCACCTCTGCCCCAAACTTGGCTGTGCATGTCTGGCTTCAAATTCCTCTTCTTAACACATTTTGTTTTGTATCATTCCTAATAAACAAAAACTCTTAAAAGGTATTAGACTATTCGGGGGAGTGTGTATGCAATTTTAGGTCTTTAATATTATTTGTGTATAGTATTATTTGGACTTTAAATAATTTATTTCAGCAATCTCAGTCTTTCTTCCAAGAGAGGAAATAAAAACACAAATGTCAAATAGAAGGTATCTTTCATCCGAAGGGATACATTGGTGACCGTGAGCCTAAAGAGAATTTAGAAATCAAAATTATGCCAAAAAAGAAAAAGATCGGGATTTCAGATGACGAGTTCTGAAAACAACTGAGTTGCAAGGGCTTCTCAGCTGGGTTAGCAGCAAATCCATCACCCACAGTGTCTCTACTCTTGCTGAACAGGTCATGTCTGTGATTCCGTCCACAGGTCCAGAGCCCAGCACCCCGTGTGAGCTGTCACCGATCAACGCCTCTCATCCTGTCCAGGCCTTAATGGAGAGTTTCACCGTTCTGTCTGGCTGCGCCAGCAGAGGCACAACCGGGCTGCCCCAAGAGGTTCACGTCCTAAACCTCCGCATTGCGAACCAGGGAGCAGGGTGGCTGCAGAGGGAGGTAAGTGTGCGTGTTGCCATCGGAGCCAGAGACAGCTCTGAGAGTGCATTCTATGCTTCTGTCTTGGGTCTTGAGGATCAGAACTCAAGTCATTAACCTTGTAATGAAAGCCCTGCGGCCTGCTGTGCTGTCTCGTTGGCCCATTTACCTAAGATTTTAAATTGTCTTTTCATCTTTACACATGACCCTCTTTTCTTCTCGCCCAACTGTATCTTATGAATGTACTGCTACCGAAAGATGAGTCAGAAAAAACTCTAGAACAAAGGCAGTACCCTGAGGGTAGCTCTTATTGTCAATGAGGTACCTTCTCCAAGATGGCGGTCTTGGTGGTCATGGAGAAGATTGGGGAGCAAGCTCATGATTGTTCAGTGTTTGCTCTGGGCTGAGGACGGTTGGAAACGGTGCACTGGCTTGGCGTCCCTTCATTCTGTGCATTTTACAGGTCAGCCTACAGGTGAGAGAACACAAGTTTCAGGGGCAAATGATCCATTCTTTCCCATGATTCATCTATAGCTTAGACCGTGGATTAATGGTTTCCTTGTCACTCTTAAGAGAATGGGTTTTCCCACAAAAACAACACACAGTTGTCATTTTTAGTTTCTGTGTCCGCAATGTTATCAGGCAAGGATTGTCTCCCTAGGGAAAATGCATCCGCAGTAACTCCCAATGATGGTGGTGTTTAGGAAGACAGCTGTAAAATGGAATTTTTCTTTCAGTTTTTTTCTTGATCAGGAAAGTGAATTCTACATCTGCTTGTCTATGTGCTGCGGGCATCTCCTTGCCTTTTGGGGTCTGTGGGGTAGCACAGGCATGGAATTCTACTAGGAAAAACAGAACTGACTTAATCTGATGGAAGTGTGCAGTGTTGGCTCATTTCAAAGTCAGGGCATCTAGCCCTCTCCAGCTCCATTGGAAATTATTGTCAAGCCTCTTGGTGGCTTGCCACTGTGGCTGCAACGCATTTTTCAGGTCAGATTTCTTTATCCCAGTAATGTGTCTTTAATTCTCAGCGTATGTGGGAGAGTTTGCGGTACGAGGGGAGTGGGGGGTCGGAAATACAGCCCCTGTGAGGCCTTGCTGACTCCAGCAGTTCCTCGGCGTAGCAATTACTCATTTTATATATGCTTCTCTCCGAGGGAGTGAGGAGGAAAAAGAAAGTCCGGGCTGTTGCAGGAATGTCAACAACCAAAAATTCTTAGTGTTAAATCGTGCGATACTTCTGCGGACTCCGAAGGTGGATTTGATGAGATTGCCACAGCAAAAGAGAAAAAGACTTCAGGGAGGGACATTCCAGAGCGTGGCAGTGCGGAGGTTGTGTGGCTAGCCAGGGGCCTGGCGAGTCCACTGAGAGGGCTTGTGCAGGGCAGCCCCAAACCATGCTCCGGCCAGGCCTGTGCAGCCAGTGCACACATGCTCTGTGGCCCGGATGTAAAGGCATTTCTGCCACTAGACCTTCAAGGGGAAGTGCACTGTTGCCTTCCTGGAGACCTTTCAGGGTTAGGTGGCTGTAGCTCCAGCCTGCTCGCAGACATGATGTCGGGACTTTGGAGGCTCCATCCGGCTCTGCAGAACTGTCCTATAGTAGACCTCGGAGCACACAAGGGTATTGAGGATGACACAAGGAAGAGGAGGAAGGGTTTGTTGATTGCCAAGGTAGGGTGGAGACGTGTTAAATCTTCTTCTTCAATTCCTGCCTCTGCTAATAGTTTTGAAATAGGCTACCCAGTCTATGCATTAGCACTTTTACTCCGGGAGATACACACGACTGAAGCACCCATAACAATTTCCGGTGCTGTTCATAACACTTAAAACTTAGAAATACCTTGAATGGCTGCCATCTGAGGAATGGGCTAAGTTAAATGTGGTATATCCACCCCTTGGAAGGTTATCAGACGATAAAAAAGGGGCACAGAGATACAGGTACACCCCACAGCACAGGTGAAACTTAAAGCTAAGTAAGTGATAGGCTCACAACTATGCATTGTGCAATTGCACTTTAATGACATGTACAGAATACACAAATACAGACAGGCAGGAGTTAAATGAGTGTTTGCTTAGGGCTAGACAGAAAAGGGGGTGTGGGTTTACTATCGGTGGTGAGGACCTGAGGGATGGGGGAATAAATATTCTAAAATTAAATCACGGTGACGGTTACACAGCCTGCCAACTATACTAAAATGATTGGATTATAGTTTTAATTTGGTGGTACATGAATTCTATCTCTTTTGTTTTAAAGTCCTTTGACTTCACAGTGTTCTAATTAGCTCATAAAGTCAACTTTGGCCAATTCTACCCCCTCTTTTTTTAGGATTAAAATTGCTTCATCTTTCAACCTAAACTTCATTTTTTTTTTTTTTGTTATTCTCACTGGATAACTTGATTTATGTAGCTATGGGCTATGCTAACCGTAATGGCTGTCCTGTTTGGGGACCAGAGGCAAGTGGACTTTGTAAAGTTTATACCAATTATTTAAGTCAAGTATTTTTCAAAATTAAAAACAAAAGGAATGCCTTTGCTTACAAACTAGTCAAAGAATTGCCACACTGCCCTGCCGACCTGTGCATGTCTGGCTCTCTATAGTAGCTCTTGCCTAATGTCATTCTTGAACATGAAGGAATTATGAGACCAGCCCTCTTTGCCCTCAGCTAATTAGGGGTGCAGGATCAGCGCCAGGGCTATGCTAGACCCCCCTCTTCTCTAATATTTGACCAAGCCCCTACTTCCTGGATGCCGTTACTTACTTCATCTGAGGAGAGGTTTCCTATTTTCCTCAGCAGAGGTGACAAGAATGTGTGCCTGAAAGTGGTCCCCAGTAGGTAGACAAGATTTGAGGGAAGGTGGGATAAACAGTCACGTGGGCCTGAGGGGAATGGACTTGCCCCCGCCCTGGCTCTCTGCTGGCATCAGCCTGGACAAGCTAGATCTAGAACTAGGGTTTCTTCATCTGGACCTACCTCTCGATGTCATCCCAGGCTTGGGAAGTAGCACTGGAAAGGAGGGAGCAGGAGCCTGGCCAAAGGCTCCGAATACAGAGGAGAGGTGAGGCCAAAGACCCTGAGATAGCAGAGTATGTGTTCATTGAATGTGTGTTATTACTTTCTTTGCTTTGATTAGAAACACTGTTATCATCTTCATCTATTCGTGGGCTGGGCTGAGTGGGTGGTGAGGAAGAACATTCCTGGAAGCCAAAGGATAATTGTGGAGTCAACCCCCCCCCCCCATCTTCACCAGGATTCAAACTCAGGTCTTCAGGTGTTTTCACTCTCTGAGCCGTCTCGTCTACATCTCATGCCTGTTGAGTAAGCAATTCCCCTCCTCTCTGTGAAGCCAGGAGTCTGGTGCCTTGGGACACTTCCTGCCTGTGAGAAGGTCACAGCACCCTCGAGGCTGGCTGCAGCCAGGCGCTGTCGCTAGATAGTGGAATAGTGACAGTTGGTTTCCTATCTTTTTGTTTCTTCTTGTGATCTGTTTCCTGGGTTGGCGTGTCTTTTCCCACCTATCTCATTGTTTCTAACTGGAAAGACTGCCGAGGGTCAGCCTCCAGCACCACTACATGTGAGGAGACATGGACACTTATTTATATCTGTTCTGGTGTTGAAAGAGACACTGTTCTTTTTTGGGGTGGGGAGGAGTGGGAATTAAACGTCCACCTCCCAGCATGCTGTGATTACACCTGTGTACTACCATGTTCTGTGTATGTGGTGTTGGGATTTGAGCCCAGGGCTTCATGCATTCTCTCCAGGCTGTCTGACTTGGTAGGCGAGTGAGCCAGTGCCTGGCTGCAGGGCTGGCGTGAGAATCAGGAGGCTTTGCTGCCGTGGGAAAGGGACCAGGTTTAATAACTCCACCTGTCTTGTCAGAAATCCCATAGTCCCTCATAATTTGATGTATTTGCTTCTCAGCCAAAAGAGGATTGGGGGTGAGCTCCCAACAACAGACACATCAGCTTTGTGAGCATGCGTGTAAGGTGAGGAGAGAAAAGCTCGCTTTGATGGCCATGTGGGTTCGTGTTTTTGCTATGATGGAGTCCGAAGCATGGTTCCGGCTCCTTGGCGGTTGTGCTGATGGCTGTGTTAATCACACATGTGGCTCTAAGCTGTTCTCTCAGTATGCCATCCCTCTGTATACAAGTTGTCAATTACTGGTCTCTTCCTGGGGGTAGGAAAGACCGGAATAGGAGGAAGAGAAGGAAGGAAAGACCCAAAATATGCTACTGTCCTTTTAACTGCTTTTTTATCCCCAGATAATGGTAACAACAGTCCGGTGGTATGGGCCACAGTGGGCCTCCCCTTGCCAGACGCTCACAGACCCTCAGTTGCCCTGGGCAGCCTGAAAGGGAAGCTTGGCTGTCTGAGTGGAAGGAGTGAGTGGGCCTGCTGCCTGTGAGCAGCCTCTGGCCGCCCTCTGGCTCTCTGTCCACTCTGAGATGGTGGGTGAGTGGGCCTGCTGCCTGTGAGCAGCCTCTGGCTGTCCTCTGGCTCTCTGTCCACTCTGAGATGACCTCTCTGAAGCTCTCACTTTATCCCAGGCCAAGTGAGCTCTGCCAGTTACTCCATGGAGGTGGCTCTCCCAGGGAGGGTTCGGGTTTGTGCACAGGCTTGTCACAGGGAGGTTCTTGATCTTGGGCCATTGTCATTGTTGTTTTAATTCCCTCAGGGCTTCACAGTAGTATTGCAATTGATCTCCACGTGGCAGGGCCTCTTCTTTTGTGTGGTTTAGGATTGGCATAGCAAATGCCAGCAACTATAAAATGCAGGGCTCAACCTCAGGAGCCATCGCTGGGCACCAGTGGAACACCCCTGCCAAGGAACTTTCATCTCATTTCCAGTCAGTCTCCAGAGGCTTTCTGTGGCTGTCATTCCCGTCATTAGACACGCCCTGAGAGCTGGTGCTTAACTACACCTGCTTTGTCTGTGTGTGTGTGGGGGGGGGGGCTGGCAAATGAAGAGACTCTACCCACAGTGAAGTAAGACCCTCTCTGCGTTCCTGAGTTCACATCT